TTTTCAAGTCTTTTCCCCATTTTCTAGTTGGATTATTTGTTTTGGTAGTAGTGAATTCAAAGATTTTTTAAAGTATTCTGAATTTAAGACCTTTGTCAAATATGTGGTCTTCAAATATCTTATCCCAGGCCCATTTTTACATTCTCTCAACACAGTCTTTTTCAGAAAAAAAGAAAAGCTTTTAACTGGAGTCCAATCTATCATTTTCAATACTTTTTTATTATTATTTTGTTTCTGGAAAATAACTCTTTGTTCTTTTCTAAAGAACATGTCTAAGAACTCTTTGTTTAACCCTACGTTACAATGACCACCAATTTTGTTTCATATTTTTTTCAAGAAGTTTCATGTTTTGTAGTCTTATGTTTTATATTTCGATCTATGATCCATTTTGAGTTAATTTTGATATGAGATTCAAGTTGTGTTTTTTTCTTTTTTGTCCATGGTGTCCAGTTGTTCCAATCCCATTTGTTGAAAAAAAATATCCTTTCTCCATTGAATTACTTTTTCATCTTACAAAAATCAGTTAACTATACTTGTATAGAATATATTTCTGGGCTCTATTCTGTTCCATTGATCTATGGAATACCACAATATCTTGGTTATTGTAGCTATGGATTAAACCTTAATTTTAGGTGGTATTGAGACCTCAGACTTTATTATCCATTGTCAATTTTCCCCCACTATTTTAGTTTCTTTTGTTTCCAGGTATATTAAAAAAAATAAATTTGTCTATATATACACAATAATTTTGGGATGTTGATAAGAATTGCTATAAACAAAACGAATGTTTGGGCAGACTTGTCATCTTTAATATGCTTATGCTTATATCTCACTGTATCTTTTCATTTACTTAGGTCTTTAATTTTTATTGTCTTGTGGTCTTCAACGTATAGATCCTATAGATATTTAATTAGACTTATACCTAAACATTTCACTAGGAGTGAATGTAAATGGTACTGAATCTTAACTTTAGTTGCCATTTGTTCATTGGTGGTATATAGAAATAGGTTTGATTTTTGGTGTTAACCTTGTATTCTATGAACTTGCTCATTACTCTAGGAATTGTTCTGCATTTGTTTTGAGAATTATCTACATAGGCAGTCATGTTATTGGCAAAGAGGGACAGTTTTATTTATCTTTTTCCAATTTATATTACTTTTATCTCCTTTGAAGGCTTTATTGCACTGGCTCAGATTTCCAACAAACTGTTCTGAATAGGAGTGATCAGTGTGGACACCCATGCCTAGGTCTCAATATTAGAAGGATAGCATTTGCCTTTCATTCTTAGCTATAGTTTTTAAAAATAGATATTCTTTATCCAGTTAAAGAATTTCCCTTCTGTTCCTATTTCAAGTTGCTGAGAGTGTTAATCATAAACAGATATTGAAATTTGTTAAATGCTCTTTCCACTTCGTTTGGTATGGTTGTATGATTTTCTTCTTTAGCCTGTTATCATGGATTACATTGATTGTTCTGGAATGCTGAACCAGCCTTGCATTCCTTATATACATCTCACTGGCCATATTACATTATTCTGTTGATATATTGCTGAATTAAATTTGTTAATTTTATATCCATATTGATGAGAGATATTAACCTGTATTTTCACTTTCTGTACTGGCTTTCTCTGGATTTCATATGAAGGTAATGCCAGCTTCATAAATTGAGATGCAAAGTTCCTTTTTCTGAGAAAGATGATGTAGCATTGGTGTTACTTTAAAAATAAATGTTCAGTGACCACTGATCGTGTGTGGAGATAGAGATTTCTTTTTTGAAGTTTTTAAACTATAAATTTAATTTCTTTAATCCCTTAAAAAGGCTTTTAGTTTAAGCCATATGATCTTGGGTTAGGCTAAAGCTAAGAGGTTTTAGGAAAATGAGGTAAATATTATTGTAACTAAAGGAAAGAGAATCCTTATAACACATTGGCATTACATTTATCAAGAGTCTTGTCTGTTATGGAAAATGGGCCTAATGTATTGGTTCATCAAGCTGAGGAGGAAATTTCCAAAAATTTTGGAAGTTGCCATGTGGTTTCTTCCTGCTTACAGAAAATGTGAAAGGAGGGAGAGTGACTAAAGGAGGCTGTTCACATAAAGTAGCCAGGACTTGATGGCTTTGGACCTTTCCACTTCTTTATTTGGAAAATAATGCTAAACGTAAGAAGAAATTGCTTTCAGGAAAGCACGGCATAACGATGAAGTCAAAGGTGTGACTGTAAAATCCCTTGTTAAGAACTCATCATGATTGCACATGGACATTCAGAGCCTCTTTCTGTCACAGTGAAGGTCCTCTAAAGTGTTTTAAGTTGTTTCCCCAGGATCCTTTCAGTGGAACACTAGGAATTCTAACAAGTGTACAAACATGCATCTCCTCGGAAACCCAAGGTAGGGAAGGGTTTATCTTAAAGAGATTTGAGGGGGTGGTTTTGTCTCATGGATAAAAAGTGAAACCCGTGAAGATTCACAGAAGACTCTCAAAGTGTGAAAAACAGTTGAATGTGGGTAAATATTTTGGGAACAAAATGGGTAGAGACCACATAAATTGATAGGGAGTTGCTGGATGTGTAAGATCTAGTGTCAGGAAGTCATCTGAGAAAATGATTTGTTTGTAAACACATCCCGTCTTTCATGAAAATGGGAGGGTGACTCAGAGCAGAAACCAGTTCCCAGGGAGAAGACACAGCACCATGGAGAATTATTCTCAGACCTTGAGACATAATCAAGGAACTTTAAACATTTTCCCAACTGGATTTCAGAATTGCTGTGGATCATTGGTCCCTTTGTGCCTGAGCCAGTGTCTCCTTTGTGCTTCCTCTTTTCCTCCCTTGTAAACAGAAACGTCTATGGCAGCTGTCCCTGCCTGTCTCACCACAGTATGTTGGATGTATGGGTGGCAAATAGACTGTTCCTATAGTGTCACAAGTCTGTAGAAGAAGAAAGACTAAATTCAAGGAGCTCTACCTAATGAACAATGCTGAAAACATTCATGCACACCTCATGTGATTTACAGAGAGAGATGCTGAACATGGAGGGGCTGCTTTCATAGGATCAGCCTTTTGAGGGCCTTGGGAAGGGATGAGCACATTCTGCACATGGAAGGAATGCAAATAATTTATGGTCAGGGGGCATAAATGCCCTCTGATGATTTTTAAATTTTTTTATATTAAAAACATTTAATGTTTATTTTTGAGGGAGAAAGAGAGAGAGCAAGAGCTAGTGCACAAGTGGGGAAGGGGCAGAGAGAGAGAGAGAGAGAGAGGGAGACACAGAATCCGAAGCAGGCTCCAGGCTCTGAGCTGTCAGCACAGAGCCTGACACAGGGCTCCACCTCAGTGACTTTGAGATCCTGACCTGAACCAAAGTCAGCCACTTGACTGACTGAGCCACCCAGGCTCTTCCCCACCCCCGATGGTTTTTAAAATATGCCCATACATTCTTTGAGTGCTCTCCATTTCACTGTGGGCTGGGACTTAGTGATTTGCTTCTTATGAATAGAATACGGCAGAAGTAATGGTATGCCACTTTCAAGATGGGGTCTTTTTATAAAAAGACCAACTTTCCACTGTGGGTGCACTCTCTCTCTTGAATCACTTATTCCCAGAGGACACATGCAATGCGTGGCCAGTGGAGAGGTCCAGGTGGCAAGTTTCCAGCCAAAAACCATGTGATTTTGAAAACAGAACCTCTATGTCCCATTAAGTCTTGAGAAACTATAGTTCTGGCCAAGAGTTTGACTGCAGTCTTGTGAGAGACCCTGAGCCAGAATTATCCAGGTGAGCTACTCCTAGATTCCTGATCCTCAGAAACAGAGTGAGATAATAAATGTTTACTGTTTTAAACTGCTGAGTTTGTTATGTCTCAGTAGAAAACTATTATACTCAATATGTAGCTCTGGTACTCTGGCCTCTGAATTCTAGTCATCTTGCTGTGTCTTCTCTACTCAGCTCATCTTCATGGCTCTGTTTGGATTTCTCCTTCTGGTGCCGATGCCTCTTCAGGCAACTCAGTGAACGGGTTCTTGTTTTTTTCTAATATTTTCAGGTGTTGTGGAGGGGAAAGGATTTAAGATTAGCTTTAAGTTGGGAGAGACTTAGGGCCAGTGAGTTGAGAGAATGAGGAAGGGCTGAAGGCATCAAAGCCAACTTTCTATGTAGAGAAGCATGGTTTATAAAATGCAACATGTGAGCACCTTGTGTATAAGAACAGTTGGTTCCACTTACTCTGATGCTTTGTCACTTACCTTCACCCCACAAAAGCTGAGCTTGGTTGATGCTAGCTACCATCTGGTGACATATGTAGTGACCTGTCTTAACCAACATATTTTTCCCAGCTGCTCTTTTCTTCTCTCTGAGGTTAGTAACACACACACACACACACACACACACACACACACACACACACACACACGTCACAGTCCTGCCTTTTTTCCTTTATTTCACTATGCACAATTTACTCAATCCCAAATCAGGCTAGTTCTTTCTTTCACATACATACATACACACTCAAACCCACTTTAACTGATGTTCTTATTTGCACATCTAAGTCTCTTTAGCTAGAGCACAAAAACTTCCTACAAGTTCTTTTTCTGTTAGGCTCGTTCTCTCTGTAAGTCAGATAAATCATGCTGATAGTGGGTGATCACTAACAGAGTTAGTATTGTAATTCTGGATTAAGAAATTGGAATAAAATCCCCTACAGAAATCAATTTCTCTCATCTTCTAAATGATCGTAGAGAATCTCCTTAGAATTTCTACACCTATTCAGAGTAAATCATTGAACTAGGCAGTGTGTTCTGAAAAAAAAAAAAAAGATCTACAAAAGAGGGGTGCCTGTCTGGCTCAGTCAGTAGAGCACACAACTCTTGATGTCTTGGTTGTGAGTTCAAGCCCCATGTTGGGTATAGAGATTACTTAAAAATAAAATCTTTTTAAAAAATTTAAAAAGATATGTAAAAGAAATCCTAACTTTCCAAAAAAAAAGTCTAGAAGAAGAAATATGTACATAATGTACACAAACCAAATGATTTATAAAAGCCTTAGAAAACATACAAATAAATTATAACAGTATTTCAAATGGGAGAAAGATTATAGCTAGTGGGGAGTTAGGCAAACCTTTCCATGACAATCAGGGATCATGTGTCAGTAGGGACAAAAAAGGACAGAGAAAGGAACTTATATTGGTGACCTGTGCTTCTGAGTATATTTAATTTAATCATTTTTAAAGAATCACAAATGTATTCCGGTAAATACAGACAATTTAATATGCATTCCTTCTGCAATTTTAGTCTCATATTTTTGTTGTCATTGTTGTTCAAATTAGATGAGACATTTAAGACTTATATCCTAGTGGAGATGTTTCATTAAAACTAGCTTCTGTCTTAATAACTCATTCTATTTGTTAAAAATAAACTGCCTTTGATTTCTTGCCCAGTTTTAAGGCTGTATAATTGAGTCCCATAAAAAGGAGTGTGTAGGTTTCTAAGTAACCCAGATATTTCTTGAATGTCTAGAAATCCACACCCACCCTAGTTACTCTGGTTTTTGAGATTTTATAAGACAAGGTTTGGAGGCAGAGAACTTTTGACAAACACACCTAGAGTGTCTTCGTATTTGTTTTTAAACTCAGGACAACTCAAAGAAAGTATTCTAAGACTCGGCTTATTCAAACAATGGCTTTCCTTTGAAATAAGATAGTCTGGCTCCCTTAAAGGCATAGTAGTCACCTCTGACACGGAGAGCGGAAGGTAAAATAACAAAGGAAGTGGGGAACCAATCTCCTGCTGGAATTAAAAAAAAAAAAAAACTGATTTGCATTAACTCATTTCTAGGTGACTGGCCTAGTCCAGAGGATGCATATGGCAGGTTAGATCAATCACCCTTGAGACTGATGTGAAAGGTTTGATGTGGCCAAGGAAGAGGTGTGGAAAAGGGAGTGGGTACCATGTAGACCTGTAACAAAGGAAGCAAGCATATTTAAGGTTAAATTTCCCCTCAAAGACAGAAATAACAAAAAGATATATTTTTTAATGTACAAAAGGGTAAGAGACAAAATAATCTCACTTTATCTGTGATCTTTAGCATACAATATTAATGTCAGTCCCTTTAATCCCACCCTTGTTTTAGGAGAGAGAGGGGGAGGGAGAGTGTGTGTGTGTGTGTGTGAGCAAGAGAAGGGGAGGGGAGGAAAATTGATAGCAATGATGAATGGGAAGCCGGAAAGATAAGGTGGGATAAGGGGCTCTGAAATGTCAGGGTGTCTACTGTCCCGGGAACCTTTGAAGCACCCTCCATGACGAATTACATTAACTGCAGCCTTAGAAAATTCCTACAGACAAAGATGGATAGAAAAATCAAAGGTCTTTGGAAAGCGGGCCACAGCTTTGTGCTCAAGCCTGCAGTAAGTTTTGCTTTGTGTGACGTGAGGATGGGGTGGGGGGCGGCACTAGGCGGTGGGATGGACTGGAGAGGCACTTCTACCTGCACACACCTCAGCTGGGGGGTGAGGGTGGGAGTGGGTGCTGAGCGAGAATGCAAATCGGCCTGTCGGAGTGGCCAATCAGAAGTCAGGTGAGGGAATTTGGGTCCCCACCCCAACTGGGTGTGTCAGCACGTGTGTGGTGTTCTGGGACCTTTGTCCCGCAAAGTCACTCCGGGCGGGCACCCCGTGCTCCCTTTTTCTTGTCAGGTCTGCTTGACTTTTTTCTCCTCCACACCCACCTCGCGAGTCGCGTCTCCTCCTCGTCCCGCCACAAATTCCCTCCCGCGCCTCTCGGGGTAAGAGCTCGCGGCCCGCGCGTGCGGAGCGAGGCACGCGCCAGGTTGCTGGGACTGCGGCACCAGCCCCTGGCAGTTCCGCGCGGGTGCAGGCGGCGAGCCACGGCTCCGACACCACGGCGCTCCTGCTCGCGCGGGGCAGTCCTCCTCCTGTCCTGAGGCAGCCCTGCCAGCCTTGCGCCGGCCGGCTCGCTCCTGACTGTGGGTCTATCCTGTGGGGCTCCGGAAACTCTCGCAGCGTCCAGAACACAGAAAATAGACTCATCACCTAATTCGCCAGGGAGCCAAAGCGCTGCGGGGCCGCGGCGCTGCCTGCCCCCGCTCCTCCCCCCCCCGCGCCCCCCCCGCCCCCCCCGCCCGGGCTCGGGCAGCCTCTCGGAGTCACACAGCACCCCCCTCCCACCCCCGGCAGACAA